CATGTTATTGAAAAGAGAGAAAATAAATAATGTATTTGTGTTTTAAGAAACATAAGATGTCTTTCGGAAATATACATTAACATACTTCTAGAATTAATAGACAGGTGAGGGTTTGATTTTGGAAGATTTAAAAAAAGTTGATATAAAATGAGGTTGTTTTGTAAAGTAGATACAATAGAGACTGAAGAAATTAATTAACATATTTGTGTTTTAAATATATATACAAAATATAAATATACAAAATATACAAAATATATAATATATATATATATACAAAATTAAATATATACAATATGTATATTTTAAGCTTCGAACATTAATGGCAGCAATTTAGTTCAGATAAAAATAAAATATAGAAAGTAACAATAGTTTAATAAATATAAATAATAAAATATTTTCTTTATTATTAAAAATGAAAAGAGTAAAGAGTCATTAAAAGAGTAAATTATTATAAGAAATAATAGAAAGAAATAAAGTGTAGATGGATTGTTATATGATCGAAAAACAATATAAAACATCGCTAAAGTGACACTACAATAGAATACACATAGGAATTAAGCAAATAAAAGATATAAGAAAGTATAGATATACATATAGAAAGAAGCGAAAGATTGATCATACGATTCAAAAAGAAAATGAAAACATTCATCTGCAACAAATATGACAGAACGCTCTAGAAAACAAAAACCTTTCGAAACTAAAAAAAGAACAGAGCTGGAAGAATCACAATTATTATGACAGCAAAAGAACTATCCTGAGGATAAAGATAGATGAAAGGAGTATGTTTCTGATCCACCTCTTTATGCTAAGAAAGATTTTGGCAATGGAGTGAAGTGGTTGAGATATTACTGGTCTACCTCTTCATGCTAAGAACAATTTTTGCAATGGAGTAAAGTGGTTGAGAAATTACTGGTCTACCTCTTTATGCTGACAGAGATTTTGGCAATATAGAGAAGTACTTGAGAGATTACTCGTTTAACCCTTTATGCTTAGAGATTTTGTTCTGTAAGTGGACATTAATATTGGAACATATTAAGTGGACTTTTCGTTTCATACAAAAGCTAGATTTCCGCAAAATAATATTTTATTGTAAATTATTCGAATTTAGAATTTTCAAATCGTATGAATTCGGAACCTACGTAAATTACTTACATTTTTTGATCAAACCCAGTAACATATTGTATAGAATATATCTGAGAGATTTTTTTATGTGGTTAAATAGAGTTACTGATCTACTTAGACCACTATTGACTTATTATATGATATTTATTATATGATATATGATATTAACAACATTATAATGAAGTACTTAAATACACTTTTACCCTTTCCGAAATAATTGAGATCCGATAATCCAGATATATCCTTATTAAAAATTGTCCGAATATGTTTATAAGACTTATTTCTTAAAAAAATTGTATTGTATTGTATAAAATATATCTGACAGATATCTTTATGGGGTTAGATAGGGTTGCAAATATTGCAGTTACAGATCTACTAAGACTTCTGTTGGCCTACTATATGATATTTCTTTATTAACTACATTATAATGAAGTACTTAAAGCACACTTATAACCTTTCCATAATAATTGGGGTTGGATAACCCAGATATATCCTCAATAATAATTGTCGGAATATCTCTATAAGACTTATTTATTTATAAAAATTATATTTTTTTACCTTATAAACATCACCATAAGTGCCCGAGCCAATTTTTTGTAGGAGCTCGTACTCGTCTTGTGGATTACGTCTGGAAATATCCGAACTCAAGCGATTCGCGTTGTGGTGAGCCATGTTCGCGTCTTTTGTGTTAGGAATTTCTTTGAAGAAGCGACAGAATTGCGTTTCAATTTAATTAGATTTTATTCAAATTCTCTTCCAAATGCAAATTTAAAATAAAAATAAAAACACGATCAGCTGCTTGCACTTAAAAAATATCGCCTCTGCTGCCGTTTTTTTTTTCGCTCTTTATTTTTTGTAATTAAAAACGATTAGTGCAAATTTTTTATTATTGTGATTTCACATTTGTTGTTTTTGGCTTGCGTAATTCTACATAAATTTTTTTATTATTATTTTCAAAGTTGTTTTGTTGTTTTGTTTTTTACTTTGCTTCTTCTTTCCTTCTCACTTCACATTCACTTTGTTTTGTTATTAATGCCGAAGTAGAATTATACAGGCAAATATTTTATTAGCCACGTATAAATTAAATTTTATTTTTATTTTGGTGGCGGCCGAAAGCGCTGAAATAATTATTAACACAATTAAAAAAAAGAATGTTGCTGCGGCGCACACGGCAACAACAGCAACAACAAATTAATTACTAGAAAAATGCGTAGCAACAACAAAACCGTGTCTTTGTTAGAGGCAGCGAACAGCGGCAGCAAAAATACACAAGAAAACGCAATCGTCGCGTGAAAATGAGCAAGCACGTTGATGACACGACCGAGACGCCGCGACGGCAACAGCAGCAGCAGCGGCAGCAGCAGCAACGACAATGTCTATGACAATTTTTGCAGTATTTTGCGGTTTATGCCACTCTCTACCACCTGCTTGCTTTATTTATATTGAAAATTGCTTTTGTTTTTGGTCACTTATTTTACTTTGTTTTTTTTTGCATTTAGTTTATACAAAAAAAAAAAAACAAATTCAAAGCGCAAAAAATTAACAACTGTACTGCGTTAGGGTTAAAATTTAATTTTTGTTATTTGTTATTTGTTTATGTTAATTTAATTCTAATCACGGCTTTTATTATTGTTACTGGCATTGTCGGTCAAGGCGAAAGGGGAGTTGGTTTTTGTTTAAGTAAATCAGACACGCCAACAAATCACATAAAAATTTCTCTTCTCTTTCTTCTTTGTGCATTAATTCTAATAAGAATAACACATGTTTTTACTAGATTTAGATTATTAGCTTTAATTTTGTGTGGTATATATATTTTATTATTTAATTTTAATTACTTAATGCACTTATATAAACTATATCCAAATAATTAATATATTTCTGCCCTTGCATACTTTACAAGACAAAAATTACACAAGGGCGAAGTCAATCAGTGTTTGTTGATGCTTTTTCTCACACGATTTACTTTCTTTTTTTCTCAAAATCACTTATGACAAATGAGCTCACTTTACACATTTTGCAATTATTCCCACATTTATTTAAAATTCGAATTAATTTTTTTTTTTAGCTATTTATTAGCTTTAATTTTATGGTTTTATATAAAATATAAACATATAATTTTTTCCGTTTTCCACACATGCAGACAACAATCCAACTCGACTTTTTGACAGCAAATGAGAAATATCGTTCGCTGCTGCCATTTTGAAAATGTAGACTTTGCTGTGGAGATTTACAATGTATGTAGAGTTACTTGTCAAATAAGGCACTCTCTTAACAACAGCTGTTTACATAGTTGCATTATTAATATAAATTTAAATTACATATAGACCGTATGAGAGTTAGAGTAAATTGCGGGTAAATTCATGAAAATAGTATATTATATCGTTATGGCAGCGAATGTGGGTATTTACCAGAATTTCGAGTAGGGTAAATTAGATACAAATTAGTTAAATTATGTGTTACCATTGTGAAAATATTATAAGATTTTTAATAAATAAATTTGAAAATTTTAAACCAAAAATAATAAATAAATGCAATAAATAAATAAACTAATATTAAAATAATCTGTCAGATGTTATGTTTTCGCAAAGAGAAAATCTTGCATATGTACACATAATGCAAACAAATTAGATATTGTATAAAATTAAATAACTAAGTTAAAATTAAAAATTAAAATGAATAAAAAATTTAAAGTAATATTAAAAATTCAAAAAATGTTTAAATTTTTTTTACAACAAAATTAACTAAAGTTCACACTATTTATGCCCTAATAAGTACCAATTTGATAGCAACTAAAATTTTTTGAATATATTTACATGTATATTTTAGAAATATATCATTTCCATTTTACATATTTTTAAAATATATATTTTCCACAATTTGGCATAATTTTAAAATATATCTTTTCCACAATTTTCACAAATTTAGTATAACTTTTTAATTTTGTTTGCATTTTTGTTTACAAACTTTTGACATATGACTGCAATATTCATTAAAATCTCCAATGAAGGTTCACAATAGTTCGCTTATTGCTTTGGTAACTCTTTTTGCTTTCCTGACCATTTTATAACAAAGTGCTTAAATAGAGAATGTAGTGTTGTTGTTTTGCGTACATTTTAGCAACTTTAAGCGAGCAAGTTGCTGCTGAAAGCACCTACTATACACATAATAAAGTTATAACGTAAATGTAATCTTACAGTGGTATTCTGGGAGCAATTTCTAATAACCTCACTTATAGTTAAGATATTCGGCTGACAGGACACTTTATGTGAAATTTTCACCTTAGAAAACCGGGAGTTTACTTTAATGAAACATGCATATCTTAAAAAAAAGAGCAGGAGAAATTAAATCACGTACTAGTAGTCTATCCGGCCTCGATGCAAAACCTAGATAAGCATTTTATATCGAATGTAGAAATCGGACTCGGTAAAATAGATTTAATAGTACAATTTATCCGACTTATAAAGAATCCCAGCTCTGTAGCTTTAAAACAAAAAATGATGTTTCTATTTAACAAATGTAAATGACATCTGCGCCATCTACTGCCAAATATATGTCAAGAACCCTAAATAACCACCAAATCATTAAAAAGCAATAAGTTTTCTTAAAATTTTATCCATTTCCATTTTATTTAACAAAATTTATTTGTTCGTTTTGCTTTCATTTTTTTTTATTTATTAATGTTAACATTTTCATGATTGTAAATTTTAAAAATGTAACAATTTCATTTTATAGTGAAAATATCATCATCGTATTAAATATATTCGATATATGCTTATTTTGTTTTTATATCTTAATTATTAATATTTTTAAAATAATTTAAACAAATATAAAATGTAAATTCTAATATAAATTTGAGTTAAAAGTAGAAGACAGAAAAGATTTAATTTTTACAGTGTACAACATATTTTGACAGAAATACATAAATATTTTTTATATAAATATTAATTGAATAAAAAGAATTATTATGTCTTATTGTAGTTAATTGCACAAAATTAATACAAAAATTATTATAGAAATGACTAAATAATTAACAAAAATATTAAAACGATTAAGTAGAAAAAAAATCTGCTTCCCTTAGATATTGCGAGTTATTATCAATTATTTTTCTCAATGTAGCGAAAAGTTGTCGGTGATATATGAAGGTTTTATTTTGTTTGATTTAATAAATATTTAAGCTGAGATTTTTAAAAGATTTTTTTAAAAAATTATTAACTATTTTTATTATGTTTTGATTTGCAATCCAGGACGTCTCACAATTTACGGATGCTTCTGTCTGCGGCGGCTGAGTTAAGTTTCGTTCTAAAATATTACAAAAATAAGAAAAAAATGATTAGCTTATATTTACAAGTAAAACTTTTTAAAGAGTTAATATAAAAAATAAAATTGTGTTTATATTAAAAAGAATAAACAACTCGAATACAAAGCAAATAACTAAAAGCTGTGGCAAACAAACAAATACAAATTGTGTTACGTTTTTACAAATGTAGTAAGAAAATACTCTTAAATGACTCCCTAAAGGACTCTTAACACTCTTAATTAACTTCTTAAAGATTCTTAATTAATTCCTTAAAGACACTTAATGCAATCTTAATGGGCTTCATAAAGACAATATATTAATTTCTAATAATTCTTTCAAAAGTTTCAATAAACTCTCCAAAGGAGTTTAATGATTCGTTTAAAGAGTCACAATGGATTTTCACATCTACTTGAACTGTTTGTAGACTCCTAATGGACTTGCTAATGGAAGATTCCGTAAAGATTTTTAATGGACTCTTCGAAAATCCTTAACGGACTCTTTAAAGACCCTCAATGAACTCCTTAAAGACTGTTAATTGACTCTTTAAAAACTCTTAATGGAATATTTAAAGACTCTCAATGTACTCCCTAAAGACTCTTACTGTACTCCTTAAAGACTCTTAATGGACTCTTTAAAGGCTCCTTAAGTACTCCTTAAAGACTCTTGGTGTACTCCTTAAAGACTCTTAATGGACTCTTTAAAGGCTCTTAATGTACTCCTTAAAGACTCTTAGTGTACTTCTTAAAGACTCTTAATGTACTGCTTAAAGACTGTAATTGGACTCTGAATACTTTTTAATAGACTTTGTCTTAAGTACATTTGTTGTAAATCAGCGTCAAAATATCTTCAATTTTGTATCAGCTAAAAATGTGAATCTGGTTTAGAATCTGGATGAGTAGTGAAGTTTTTTGCCAAATTTTTAATCAGTCTTTAAAAAAAAAACTAATTTAAATAAAATTAATTTAATACAAGTTTGTAAACAGAAAGATTAACCCATTTCGTTTGTCCGTATTATCCATTTATCAGAAAAAGAATCCAACACCTACATTCGTTTCAAATAGAATCACACGAGTTTTGAATATTAGAACCCATCAATATCGTAGCGTTTAATAATAACCATAGTCTAAGTACTATTTAGAAAGATGACTCTACAGAGGTCGCTCTCTTATATCGCGATGTGTCGTTACACCTCATTATATTGCTTAAAACATACCAATAACTAATTCGGGAAATCTTATTTCATTTTCAGTATATATTTAATCTAATTGACACGGTATTTTGGGTAACTGTTGAATGTGGGACCAAATTCATATATTGGTTTAGAGAGAATATCCTTTCCTCAACACCACAAACTTGAGGTACCTGTTAAATGTCAAGCTAGGTCTATTAATGAAACACGTTTCTTTGATATAGTGAAATGTAGTATCTGGAGTGAGAACATTTTTTTCTCAGCACCACAAACTTGAACAAACATGATGCCGCAAGCAAGCTAATATGTCCATTGTTATATTTAGATCCTTGGTATTAAGATTTCATTCCTACCAGTTAGCTTTTTGATTGATATCAAGAAAAAGAATCTCTGTTTCAATGAGCTTATGGTCTAAAGAAAGATTATTTATATATATCCTATGTAAATAATACCTTTAGGAATAGTGTTGAGACTAGACTGAAATCCTTAAACTTGGTTGCAGTTTTTTATTAATCATAATTTACTAAGGAAGTACTATGGAATTGGTTAGTTTTATTTCATTTCCGATCTATTACAGAACCTCTATATTAGTTAGTGTCTCTTTGTACTGCTTTTATTTTGAAAGAAAAAAAACATTTGCAGTCGATATAAAATACATATAATGTTCTCTTTTTATATTTAATTATTTTAAACAAGCTTTATTATTAGCTAAAAAAATGCATCCAAACATTTTATTAAATATTATTTATATCATATTAAATTAAGTGGGCGTGTCTCCCAAATTAGTTTTCTAAAACTATTTTTACTATTCGCGATTACATGCTTTGCAGAACAAAATGAAATAAGCACTTCAAACGAAATTTCGGTTTATACCATTCAATATCAAAATACTGCATTTCCAAATAATAATGTATTTATAAAATTTATTTCCTTTTAAATATTTATTTATTTTTTTCTAAAAATTATTTGTTCTAATAGGCTTTCATCGCAACAGAAACAAATTTGTAGCATGCGAGACAATAATAAATGCCTGCTCACTATAGCATGAAATCGCATAGCATAATTTTAGGGCTAAATTTTGTTCAATTTTTTCTAAAAATTATAATTACTTAATTTATTTTATGATATTTTTGTTAAAAAATATATAAATTTTGTATTTATTAATTAATGTATTATTAGTAAAATGTAAATATGACCTCACATTTTATAATAATAAAATAATGGAAATGCAGTTTCAATGATTGACCATTAAAAACGTCAAAAATCTTAAATTTTAGTGATTTTAATTGTTTCTAAATTATTTTTTTAATAATTTTTAACAAAGCTTGCATAACAAGAAATTCTTTTTATTTTTAAAATTAACATGCAACACGCTTACCCGATTTTTACTGTAACTTTTACAATTTATATTTCACATTTGTTTTCTGTTGTATTTTAGTTGTGATTTTGTAAGGCAAATTTTTAACAGTGTATTAACATGGTTTATTTTATATTATGATTTTTAAATTTATGGAATTTATTATTTATAATTTATTTATTATTTTTTTATTGCTTTACACGGATTAATATTTAATCCATCAATATAATTTATTTTAGTAATTGATTATTTATTATTTTTATATAAATATTTTCTAAATTATTAAAAAATTATTAATTTTAATTGTATATAATAATAATTATATTATATTATAAATAATTAAAAAATTATATTATAAATTCATAAATTAATTAAATTTCAATATTTTTTATTGCTTGTTAAAATAACACATATTTGATTTTTAAATTTAATTAAATAATTAAATAAATTAAATTAAAATTAATTCATTTAAGAAATTTATTTCAAAACAATTAACTAAATATATTAACGCAATTATATATCAGAATAGTTAAAAGTAACTTAATTGTTTATACAAAATTAATTTTTGATATCAAATTTTTATAAATTTAATAACGTGAAATCAGTTATTATATTTTTAAATTAATATTTAAAATGTATTACATATAAATTATATACAATGCAAATTAAATGTTTTAATTATAAAATTTGCATAAATTAAAAAAAATTTATTAGTATATGTTTTACTAATTATATACATATATTAATGAATGTCATATTAATTATTTTTATTAATATATATATTATATTAATTATATGTATTAATATATGTATTACATTAATTATATATATAAATATATATATTATATTAATTATGTATATTAATGTATCATATACATGTTAATATATATAAATATATAAAATATATAAATAAAAAATTTTCAACTAATGCAAATATTTTTTAAATCAAAATAATACAACTTCAATTTAATTATTATTTAATAACAATTTAAAAAAAAATAAATTCAATTATTATTTAAAAATTTTATTAAATTAATTAATTTAATTTTTAAAATTTTAGTTAACTGAAAAATTTTTTTTTTAAAATTTATTAAATAAACCGTTTTAATCGATTTAATGACAATTAAATAATTGAAGTGAATTTCTAAAACGATAAATAAAATGTCTACCTATATGCATGTTATTCATTTATTTATCGAATATAAAAAAAAATAAATTTAAAAATATGTGAATAACTTTTAATTTTATTTAATTAATAAATTTAATTTCATTTCATTTAATTAATAAATTTAATTTAATTTTATAATAATTAATTAATTTAACCTTTTAATAAAATATGCATTTAAGAAATAAATCAAGTTTCATATCATTAATGTGTTATTAACATAATTTAATTAATTTAGAATTTTATTAAACTTTAATTATATTATTAAAAAAATAATATTAAGTTATTTTTTTAATAAATTAATGAATATTAAATTAATGTTATTTTTTTAATTTTAGCAATAATTATATTAAATAACAAATATTGAATGTAGGATATAAGTCAATTTAAATTATCTAAAAATTTTTTTTTTAATTATTTACTTATTCAAGTGCTTTTGTAATTATTAAATTAAATTAATTTATGATTATTTAATAATTTTCTATAAATTTAAATTAATTTATTTATTTAATTATTAATTTATTATTTCAATTTATTTTATAATTATTAAATTTAATTAATTTATAAAGATTCGATAATTTTACATAAATTTAAATTAAAATTTTTTTTATAGATTATTAATTCAATTTGTTTTATAATTATTAAATTTAATTAATTTATTAAATTTAATAATTTTGCTTTATTTTTATTTTAGTTATTTATTAAATTTAATTATAAAAAATTAATGTTTTTAATTTTATTTATTTATAATTATTCATATTATATAATTTTTTTACTTACGATTTACGTATTTATAATATTTAATTTAACTAATTATTATTATAAATTTAATTTAATTATATTATTAATTAGAATAATTTAGGTAATTATTATAAATTTATGAATTATATTCTGTTACACATTATTCAATAATTAATTTTATTTTTCTTTGCATAATTAAAATTTCATTGATAATCAAAAAATAAAAACAAAATTACAAAATTGTTTTATATTGTTTTTAGTAACATCTTTACACTGGAAAAAATTTAGTAATTTAGTAGTTTAGTAGTTAAATTTGATTTATTCAAAATTCGTCATCCTAAAATTGTCGTTTCGTATAAAAACGAAGTTAATCATTGTTTTTGCAATGAACGTAAGAGTAAAAGAGAAAATTATATTATTTCAAAGAGAAGAAAAGAAAGAATATAAGAGAATTTATATTAGCATAATTTATCATATGTGATATTTATAAATATATAAAATTATGAAATTTCACAGGCTTTTTGTTAATATTTATTTAGTATTAAAAAAATACAAAGCTAGTATCTCGAAATTTTTAAAATATTAACCAGTTTTTAATTTATTTAATATTCTTTTAAGAAAATAGGACTATAATGGCAAAAAAGTCATATATAGGCAATCAGCAAATATTTTTTTGAATAATTGCATTCAAATCTATAGTTACATATATACATATATGTATATATTAAGCAAAAGCAAAAATTTCAAATTTAAATTATTTATAAATTTTTTGCAATTAATAAGCCAAGCCAGGATATTCAATATTAAAAAAATTCAAGCTTAAAGGATTTAGAAAAAGCCTTATAAATCAAAATTAATTTTAAAACAATTTTGTAATTTTTTTTACGATCAATAAAAAAATGCTGACGATAAAAAATTAAATAAATTAATTTTAAAAATTGCATAAATTAATTATTGAAATTAAGCTTTATTACTTTATTAATTAGCAACTGATTTTGTGATTTTATTTTTATAGAAAATTAAATAATTATTTATTTACTTAAAAGGGATAGTTTTATAAAATATTTAAATAAGAATTGCATATATTTTATACGTTATTTACTATATATATATATAAATATTATTATTATATTAAAATGATTGATTTATTAAATCTTGTTCTGTGAGTACCGGAAATGAAGTCCTTTTGTATATTGAATATAAAGAAAAATTGTAAAAGAAATTGGGTTTAGGTGTGTTGTAGGTTTGTGAAATAATTGAAAAAAGAAAAATATTATAAAATATAAATTAGTATATACAAAATTATTATATATAATTATTAATAAATATAGATATATATTGATGTATAAATATATATACATTTTTATACATACATATGTGAACAAGGTGTTTTCTTATTTAGTTAATGCTATAAATGCTGGAGATGATTCGTTGGTCCACGAAATTGAATATTTGAACATTATATAGGACCCGCATTATTGTTTTTCATATTTTTTATATAATTTTCAGGACTGTTATTTAAAAGAATAACAGCTACATTTTAGGAGTACCAACTTTCCATTTATCTATAACTGCTATTTTGAATTTGTTCTCTTGCAAAAATAAGTTTGAAGTCCTGATGTATGAAACAGTTAGAGACATACTATGGAACTTTGACTATATTTCTTAATGTTTTTAATTGGTAGTTTGGTTGTACAATATTTCTAAATTGAAGATATATTATTGTCCCAACATATTACAGTTAAAAGGACTGCGACCAGTGCTGCACTAAGGCTTCCTTATCTAGGTAATCTTAAAGAGGGCAATCTGACAGGACACGCAAAGATTCTAGATGAAATCTGGAATTCTCCGTGCCTTAAGGTCTTCGACAAGATGAATAGAAAATTAGCTTTCTCCAGGGAATTCGAAGTGGTCATTAGTGACCGATCAACTTGGAGAAATAATAAAATCAACTTAAAGCAGGGCTCTCAATTATGGTGTACTGATGGGTCCAAAATGGATAATGGCAGTGCAGGAGCAGGAGTTATGGGACCAAACTTCCGTAAAGCAATCGCAATGGGAAAAACATCTTCCATTTTTCAGGCAGAGGTCCATGTCTTAGAGCTTTGTGCAAGAGAATGCATACGTAGGGGCACCCGAGGTACCAACATATGCATTCTATCAGACAGTCAAGCAGCTCTAAAATCTTTAGCAAAATCCTTATTCCAATTAAAGCTGGTTTGGGAATGCTTTCAACTTCTCAACACCCTAGCATCGAGGAACTATGTTACTCTTATGTGGGTACCGGGACACGAGGGGCATGAGGGCAATGAAATAGCAGACATATTAGCAAAGAAGGGTGCATGTACTCCTTTCATTGGGCCAGAGCCCTTCTGCGGGGTAACAAATAGCTTCACAAACAACTTATTATGTGAACGGGAGAAACAGCATCTACTTAAACACTGGAGAGCCCAAACAGGCATGCGACAGTCAAAAAGATTAATTGATCCTGAACACATCAAAGTTGATGCTATCATCAACCTTAGCAGAAATGATATCAAAATCTACACTGAACTTCTTACAGGACACTGTAGACTTAATTACCACATGAAGATTATAGGTGCGGTAGAAAGTGATTCCTGTCGACTCTGTCATGAGGAGAAGGAAACATCAGAACATGTTCTATGCAACTGCCCAGCGGTGGCAAGACGTAGACTCGATTAGTAGCGGGATCCTGGTCCCAAATCAAATAGGTAAAATTAAGCCCACTGCAATTATAAGATTTATAAATAGTCTAAAATTGTCCTAGTTGGGCCTATAGGCGCACAATAGATCTTTTAGGTCGGGGTGCACAAATAGCCTATTTTAAATAATAATAATAATTGTCCCAACATTATATGTGTTATCCAGACTGTTTATTTTCAGTATTAATCGAATAAAAATAGTACCAGAAAAAAATTAATTTGAAAAAAAAAATTAATTTGAGAAAAAATTTTACTGGAATAGATATGTAGACATTCAAAAGTCTATTAAATATACTTTAATTTATTGATCAATGGATTATTGTGATTAAGGGATATAAAAATGTGGATATAAAAATTATGTGGTGCTCCTTTTTTTAAGAAAATTTATCTCACAAAATATATAATCGTGTTATCTCATAAAGATAGAAAAGGCTTTTCTAACGATCATGCATCGTTTCTTTTTTGTAATCGGCCTCAGAAATGATCTATATTGTTTTACGAACATTATTTTTTATCAATATTCAAACGTTTTAATAAATTTTATAACGAGAATCTCAACCCTTTCCCCATCATAAACGATTTCTTTTATTTTTAAAACCAATAAATCATCTTGTGCAAATATACTATATAGTTAAGAAATACCCTCCATGCATATATATCCATATTAAGATAAATATTATTATTAGTTAAATATTTGTGAATTAACTTACAATTCCATGGAGAGCACTGTAGGATTTGGACATGATTGCGGCGCACGAATGTGACATTGCTTGTGACAAATCAGATGACAGTCACGACATTCGTAACCCTGTTTTCCAGGACGTCGAGGTATAGATTTCATGCAAATTGAACATTGTAAGCCACTTCTATAATTAGAAAAAATTCTAAATGTTAATATCTCTCTCTCTCACACAGTCTCTTCTCTCTGCAGAGATAATAAAAGATTTATTAAATACTTACCCACTCAAATGCTTGGCAATAAATGTGTGATCGTTATATATGTGCAGTTTTGTACCCTTACGACGCCATCTTGGACGCTGTGCTATTGCGAGGGGAACTATAAAATGCCTGTAAGGTATAAAAAACCATTTAATATATATAATGTTTTATTTTAATATATAAATTTTTTCTTTAAAATGCTTTCTAGACATATAGCTGCCATATAGCTCTAAAGTGAATTACGTCTAAAGTATATTTCTGTTTATAGACATATACTATAGGTATATAAGTCTATAGTCTTTAGGCCATATATCTAAAGTGAATTTCAAGTCCGCACATTTTTCGCCATACGGCAATGAATCTTGTCTTGCTACATATACCTACATATATATCGAAATGGTACTTTCGAACCAATAAACCCACCCTGATATATGTGCACTTAAAAATACTTGACTCACCGTTTAATACCATTTTCGATGGTTTCCAGCACCAAAGTTGATGCTTCATGTACATAAGTTTTATTGCTGGCCGATGAAAACCCTGAGATTGCTGAGGATTCTGAAAGTGAAGATCGTCTTGAGTGATCAAGTGTAGATGCACCCATGCGGGGTCCTATTTATGTTGTTTAACAATTATATATTGTTTTTGTTTTTTTGTTTTTTTTTTTGGTATTTCAACAAAAGGTGCAGTTTGAAAATATTATATATAAAAAATCAAACCGTTCACCAAAGGAAGTTCAAATTAAAAATTTCGTATATCCAAAGTATTTAGGATTATCGGTAAAAAATCCATTTTTCCAATATTAATAAAAACCCAATAAAGTTGTAAATAAATATGAAATAAAAAAAAATAAATATATAATTAATAAAAATTATTTTAGAAATAAATTTGAAGTATTTTAATAGACATAAAATTAGTAGTGCAAAATAAATACAAAATTTTTTAAAAGTTTTGTGTACATAACATTGTGTGTAATTATGTTTTGTTAGTGTAATTATTGTGTAGTTGTGTAATTGTGTGATACATACATATTAATATAGTTACATATAGACGACATTAATTATATATAATACATCATTATATTATGTAGATTACGTTGAAGTAGTTGTTCAACATTTTTTTGATAGACAGCGCGCATATCAAGGAACAAAAAAAAGAGACAGAGAGAGATAGAAAGATAGTACAATAAGTTAATGTGTCAAGGGAGGGGATGATCATGATTAGGTTATAAATAATATAAGAAAAGCATTATAAAGCAATTGAACACTGTTAAAATAGACTGCAGTAATATAGCGCTTCAAGCAGTGGGTCTAAAAATTAATATATACACATAAATTTGGGTAGGTAGAAACATCTATCTATAATGACACATATAGCATAATGAGTAAATTAATGTTATGAACAGTTCAAAGTAATATATGAAGAAATATAAATCATATTATGGAATTTTTATAATTTTGTGGTTCAACACATATATCATTAAAAATGTAATGTCGTCAATGAGTTTGTGGATCACTCAACTCTGTTCAGTTAGGAACTATTAGCAATATAAAACATCAGCCATTATAGCACTAAAAACGATTTTTAAGCATTATCTCTAGCTTACAATGCAAAATTGTGTCCAACATAAATGCAGAAAAACATTTGGAGAATAGAAGAATCGATCAAAAAGGATTTCAAACGTATGGATTTCAGTAAAAAAAATTCTATTACTTCTGGACCTTTGCTGCTATAATTTGCATACCAAACTAGGTTTGATACAATAAAATATAGTAAACGTAATGCTTCTTCCTTGTAACACTATTAACGCAATATATATAATTGCGTCGTTTACTGAGCACATTAATGCCATAGATATATGAAAAATGAAAACACTATCAAAGTCTATCAACACTATAGTCTCCGATAAAAAATCCTTATATCGAACCACTGTTGGATGAAATCTAATTATGCTCCGATAGATTATGCTAGGTGTCATTATACGTTCTGTCTGGAATTTTGCACATGAAAGAATCCTAAAACTTACTTAAATAAATATTACACCAATGATAATAAAGTCGATGTGAAAATATGACGAAACTGATATCGTCTTGGTAAGGCTTTCTCATAAAGAACCAGAACATCTGTGAGAAATAATATGACTTTTGGACGTATCGCAAAACTCAAAGATATAAATTAATTTGTATACTTATGAAAGACCTTTAAATAATATTCAACTTATTATTATAACAAGATTATTAGGTTCTACCGGCAATCCTAAGAATCCGCTTAGGACTATTGATCATCTTAGTGAGAGTCGTCGATCTTGCAGTTATTGTAATATTATATATACATATGTTTATGTTTACGATTAAGAATATTCTATATACATATACACTATTCCACACTATCTGTTTATTCTATATATACTATGTATATATATCTGAATCTGTCTATTAATATATTTAGGTGTTCTATCTTTTAAATAAAATACCCCGTTTCCAAGCTCCATTAGGTTTTTTGATACTACTCTTACTGCAGTGCTATAAACACCATAGAAACCAAAACCTTCTTAAGCTAAATATCTCATCAATGATTTTATATATGATACCCATACCGAATATTGGTTAAAATATCTACATTAAAATATCTAAAATGCACTACTTACGTACGGAAACTTACACTAAATGCGCATGAAGTATTGGTAATTATTTATTCATAAGCAAAGCAAAGTGCATTACTCTTAATGTAATGAGTTATATATGCAGCAAGTAATTAAATGCAAAAAAAGTTATAAAAGTGAAGGATAAGTCTGTGCAGGGATTTTGTATGTATGCATGTATGTATGTGTGTGTAAGGTAATTACCAAGTGAATTGCTTTTTGAAATTACAGCACGATCAACAGATAATGAACGTGATGAACTACCGTTAAGTGTTCCCGTTGGGGTAGTACCGTTATTAATATTTTGTGGCGACAAAGCGCCATGATCAGCTGATAGGGGACGTGTCTTGGATCGACTTAAACGTTTTTTTAGGGTTCCAAAGAAATTACGTTTTTTACTGCGTCCACGATCATCCACCAATGAATCCAAATTATTTGTCATCATATGTGCACCATTTCTAGGTAAACTATTTGTAGTATTACTGTTGTAACCTCTGCCATTATTATATTGTGCCGATGTACCATTATAACCAATTTGTCCAGTACCACCAGTAAACTGATAATCATTGTGATTTCCATTGGGTGAAGAAGCAGCATTGGGACGTCCGAAAGGCTACAAAGAAAAATCTAATTAGTTGCGCTGTAACAACATATGTAGGAAATTATCAAAATTTTATAAAGCTTTTGCAGGGCAATAACTAGTCTATATATAATCAGATATAAAAATGAGATTTATATATATTTATATATATATTTATATATAAATAAGATTTTCTATATTTGTACATTGCTTATATGCTACGTAACTATACGACCAATTTTTATAAATATTATTATTATTATTATATTGAGGCTAGTTGAGTCAGTGCACCTGAGCACTTTTACTCTCTATTAACTGCGAGGTTTCTTCAAAACCTTTCTTTGCACCTTGTCTAGATTATTGTTTATCACTTTATCAGACTAAGCAATAATCAATAAAAATAAAACCTCAGATCTGCATACCTCCCCGAGGAGCCTGTAACCATTCATATTCATTGAATATGAAAAATTTTTATAGCTATATTATTGGATGAATGAAAATGGTTATAGACTATGTTAAGCACTTGATTACTTCAAGTCAAATTAGTGAGAATTATGGAGTATGGAAAGAGATAAGAGAGAAAGGGCATTTCTTGGGTGCAGAAGGAAGCGAATGGTGAGCGGATGGTACTCAAGATTAAACTAGATCAAGGTAAAAAATTCTAACCATTTCAGTGATAATAATGTAGATAAGAAAAAAATCAATAGACTACTGGCTCACAATGGAGCTGCTAAATGTTCCTAACTAAAAAGTGGACAATTCATGCTTCGAATAAAAATCAAAATTAAATTTATATTCGTTGAACCAAATTTAAAATAGGAAGACATTTTGAACAGTCGTGAATCACAACAACAAAATTTTATTATTTTTTAATTAATTGAGTGTTTAGCCAACTATACAGCAGTTTGAAGTATTGCCGATATTAGTGGGTCTTTTAGAAAATATTTGTTGCATTGAATTATTTGTAAATAATTTTTTGAGACTATAAATACCAAGGGTTGAACTCGCGTCTTGCCAAATTTAATAAATCAGACTTCGTCTTAATAATCTAAGTGACCCAAAGCCAACTTATATGTTCTTTTATATGTTTACTTGTATTTTAAATCGTTACCTGTATAACAAGGACTAAAATTAATATAGTTCATATCTTTCTGATAACTTTAGGGACATAACAATAAGCAATAGATGTCCAACTGACTAATGGAAGTGTAGATATTTGTTCAAACCTATTAACCTAATTAATTATAAACATTGCATTGAGTATTCTAGGTAGAATTAATGGTTGTGAAATCCAAAATTAATTCTAACTCTATAAAACATATTATTGATTGATTATATACAATATATTAAAATTTATTTACTATTATTTTTATAAAAATTATATAATTTTATAATTATTTATAAAAAATAAATTAAATAAAAAACATACTTTTACAGATTTAAATCTTTTGTTAAACAGAATATAAAAAATAATAGACTCTGGTTCAAATGTTATCTATATATTTTTTATTATCTATATATATTATTAATAAATACTATTACAAAAGCTTTATAAAATTTTTTTAGCAATAATAATAATTTTAGTTCAGTAACGAATTTTAAATTTCGAATAACTCAAACAAACGAACTATGCAATGAACAATGCCTGGTACTTACCTCATCAATAGAAGTCTCGGCCGGTGCATTACCATTACCTGAAGAGTCATTTAGGAAAACATCATTTGTCGGATAGGAATCAGTAGGACTAGCGGTAGCATCAGTAGCATCTGTTGTCTCCGAAGTATCTTTCAATAATTGTTCTATTTCTGCTGTAGTATTAGCGGTTGGTAAGGATTCACTTGTTTCATTATAGGAGCTCTCAAAGGCTTTCGATACTGCTGAATTAAGTTCGTCAGGAGATTCTCTGACTTGGATTTGTCCTTCTTTATTCATTTCAACCTGATGTTTTCGTATATAATTTGCAGCATTTAAAAAGTTAATAAAGCATTAAGGTTAGATAAAAAATTCTCTTCTCAAAATATAACAATTAATTTTTAGTTTTTACTGGATTTAGTGGTTAGTCGAGGCTAAATTTATGAACGCCGAAAGCAACTCAAAATTACAAAAAATATATTTTTTATATATTTTAAAATTTTTATTTTAACAAAATTAACTCAAGACGAAATATTATTAAAAATAAATGAAATGTCTAAATTGTTAAAGAAAAATAATAAAAATAAATTACCTTGAATGGATTTAAATTATTTTGATTCTAGGATTTGTGCATGGTCGAGTAAAATACATTTTTGAAATTTTTTTTTTGTAATGGTTGTTGTGCGCGATATCATTGAAGTGTAGAATCATGAAAAAAATATGTGAAATAAAAAATTTTAAAAATAAATTAAAATTAAAATTTAACCAATTATATAAAATAATTAAAATTAAATATTGATACTTAAACAAAAATAGCAAAAGGAAATGTTGGTGGCGAAGATAGTTTTGTTTTTCAAATCTTTTTATTTTAAAAGTTTTAAAACACATAACTTGGTTTTTTGCCATAATCATTAAACTCTAAACAATAAATCTTTTAATTGAAAAAGTCAAAAGCTGTTTTTAATTTCAACTCGCCTTTATTTCTTATAATTAACATATGGTACTAATGGTTATCAGGCCTGTAACCAAAAATTTGCTTCTGCTAATTTCAGTAATTTAAAAGAATAATTTAAAAACAAAGTCTTTTGATTCATTCCGACCTACAGCATCTCAAGATCACGACCTATAGCATCCATTTATCACGGAACAAATTTTAATGCAAAGAACCATCAATTTTGTGATAAGCATTTACAATTAATATGTTCAGCGGTTGTTAAACGATTCATGTTGTAAAATGACTAAACGTATAATGCCTTTTTTAAAAAATTTGTTTGATGAATCACTGCTGCTTAATCGGGACTATAAAATGGATATACCCTTACAAACAAGATCCCCGTTGTCATATTAATGTTATACAGCATAATATAATAAAATAAAATAATATAGACAATGTACACCTACATGAGGATCTTTAATCCTGAAGCATATTCAATTTTCTATCAAATAATTGAATTAGTTTTCTCAAGATTCTAAATCTTAAATTTAAGTTTAACCTAGCCAACTGATTGAATCAATAAAATATAATCATGGATATGGTAAAATAGTAACTCTACTATAGTACTTCTAGAAATTATAAGTAGAGATATTTTATATGTTTTTAAAATTATTTAAATTCTATGGATAGTCACGATTTAACAATTACCTAGCTAAATATGCCATCTCACAATTCCGTAACATAGCATATTTGAAATTATATAAATAGACAACTATTCAAACCTTCTCAGCCATATCTATCAATTCTACGAGAACTTCTACCGATTCTACAATCACTTCTATAGATACTACTATCACTTCTATAGATACTACTATCACTTCTATAGATACTACTATCACTTCTATCGATTCTATGATCACTTCTATCGATTCTACGATCACTTCTATTGATTCTACGATCTCTTCTATAAATCTACGATAACTTATTCAAAATCTTGTATTCAATTATTCTACCCATTAACCATAATAATAACAAATGAATTAAACTTCTCTAGTACTCACCCTTTGAACACTATGAATAATTAATGTACTTTTACTGGGTTGTCCGTTAGTGGATGAGAGTGAACCATCCTGTAAGGCACGTACAGCAGCATCAGCTAAAGCAGCACCATTTTTAATTTGCTCATTAATGAGCGGCGAATTTAAACGTAAAGCTTCTTTAACATTATGTGATTTTGAACCAACGGGTATTTCTGCACCCTCAATGAAAACGAAGTCGACAGTGATATTACCAAATACAGGTTGAGTTTCATATGGTCGTGGTTGTAACGATAGCACCTGTGTAGATGCAGGCCCCACAGCCAATTCATCAATACCAACCAAACCAAGACCCAAAAATTTAGGTTGATCATTAACATTTACTGGTCGATCATAAACTTCAAAGAGTATCTCAGCAGATTGTGGCGCCAATTCGCTGTAATTAAAATAAAAATATTTTAATCTTTAATATCTGATATTTGATATTTCTATATAAAATAAATTTCTATATTTAAGTTTAGTGCTCATTTTTAGGACTCTAAAGTTATGTCTGTACTTACAACAAAAAGTGTTCATCCCAGTAAGGGCTTATGCCTTGACGTGTACCGGTTTGATTCTTCTGTGCTGGTTCATCCATTTCAACTACCACATATGGATCTTTAGCATCCTTAAGACCATCGCCTTTAACAATTTTTACAAGTAAGCGTCGACCAGAAATCATTTGTTGTTGGTAGGTGCCACTGGCATTCAAACCATCCATGTTGTGCTGTACGTTTAGGGTTGGATTGTTGAAAGTTGAAAAATTATTTAAAATTTTCTCTATAAATATCCTTTAACTAAAGGATTTTTTCTTGGGATATATAATTAGATTTTGTTGTTTAAAGAATTCGCCTTTGATATTGATTATGAAATAGGGTTTTATGAATACAATAGAATACAAAAAAAGGTTATCTCATTTGCAATGATTTTCTGAGCTTTTCTATAGTAGATCAGGTTTTATTAAAATGATATTATATATACAGTATATAACAAGATCTAATTAAGATATTTTTTATTAAATTATTATTTAATTTAGAATCAGGATATGATACATACTATATGCGTGAGTCAATAATATTAATCCAGAATGATAGTAAATGATTTAAATAGGTGTCAAGGTGTCAGTAAAGTTTAACACCCCGATATTATATCCATAATATTAGAAAAATGTGATTTACTATTAATACTAAGTTGTGAGTATTGAATTGATATAACCTTTATTGGATATAATCGATATAATAATTCTATTGAAAATATTTTACAAATAATATATAAGACAACTTATATATCTCTGATGATTATTTTCGAATATGAAAATTATTTTTAAAGTATATATTAAAAAATTAATAATTGTAATAATTTTGATAGGCTCTCTGAAATGATAGAGAAAGAAAATTAAAAAATTTTAGTTTTAATAACTAAAATTTCTATATATTATTAAACGTTATGACGTATAGGAACTATCTCAAGTCAAAGGCGAATTTCATAGTAGGGTACAAGGACTATAAAAACATATATAACAGATATATAAAAACAACAAAATAAGTATTGTGGATTGAAAAATATAGTAATTATAATATAAACAATATGAGCGAAAGGAAAACAATGAGAAGGTTTGTGTAATATAATATATATATATATATTATATATGTCAGTTGTTAAAGTATTGTGTAAAGTTAAATATAGTACTGTTTTCAAATATACATCACTTCTTCACAAGGAACAAGAACTGATAATTGAAGAGAAACCAAATTATTGAATATAAAAAATATATAATTATAAAAATAGATCCACTACTGATATATCTATTTAGGGTATAAAAAATATATAATTATAAAACTACTATCGACATATCTATTTCAAAATTAGAATAATTTTATGAATATAAATATATAAATCTAATAACATAGATCTAGTATCATATATCGTCTGACATTTTTTAGGAACAAAAAACAGAGGCGTAGTGGCAAAAAAATAATTTTGAGATCTGTTTTAAAACTCTCTATGTATAATTATATGAATATAACAAACCCACATTTAAATCTATTCTGAAACGTTTCTAGTGAAGTTCTATGATTTAAAAATATGCACCTTCTACCACATATATTTTAAAACGTTATATGTAGAGTTTTTTAAGCATAAATACGAGTATATATACTTAAAATATACAGAGTCCTATTCTAAACTTCCTCAGTTACGTTTAATGACTGTAGCTGATCTGTTTGTTTTCTATTTTTTCTCTTTTTCCTGGTTTCATGATTATAAAAATATCCCAGTAATAGATCCGCTGCCAGTTTTTTTTTTTTGTTACTTTCTAGATAAAATTCTATGATTAGATTACAATCATAGATTAAAGTATAAATCTACTACTAAATCTATTCGAATACTTGATTAATAGATATTTTTGAGTACGTTTACTTCTTAAAGTAAAAACAAATAAAAGTAAGGATATACATCATATTCCAGATTTCCTATAGAAATTTCTTACTAGAATATATATATACTATGTATGGATATATGTAATAATATAAGTATATAATGAGTATATATAACTATATACAAAGGACTTCAGGAGTTAAATATTTAAATAATGTTAATACAATAAAATAGATTTAGTACAAAATATAAGAAGGGAATTCGGAACTTTGTCACAAGTTAAGGTAGATAGGTGAATATGTGTGATTGCCTGTTTTCTTTACTGAAGAATTTTTCATAAAATAATATAGATTAATAAAAATAATTTTTGTATTATAATCGTTAAGTATTCAATGAATTTCATAGAGTTTTAATTTATAAAGTTTACTCTTCATATGTTTCTAAGTGTTGTTTAACTCTTTAATGGCTCCCAAGTCAAAAAAAAACATTGTTGAATTTATAATAATCTGTTTTTGTCAAGAACTGAATATAATATATATTCGTAAAAATCTAATGAACTCAGAAGAAAAATATAATTTCATGCGGGAATCAACATCTTTACAACAAACTGAGAACACAATTAAACGACTTCTTCTCAATGCTCTCACTCTCACCGCTAGTGCATCGTAATGCATGGGATACATTACAGACAAATCCATTGGATCGATTTCGGCACGTGGGCATGTTGAGTACATAGAAAAGTCAACAGGATAAATAGTGTCACGCAATGCTCTTGTTAACATGTCACTAATAACTTCCTGTAACTGTTGCTCATCCTGATCCATTGGCTTAATAGCCCCAACACTATTCATTGCAATGCGTACCTATTGAAATGAAAAAAAATAGCTTCAATATTTTAATTAATTATAGTACAATTAAAGTACTTACATCCGGATAACCATCGACACGCATATCACCCTTTAATGAGTTATAGTTCATGGCAGTTGTCATGCGTGCACGAAAACGTGATACGGTCACCTTATAATGGGATGTCTCCAATTTGCCCGATTTTTGACGGAAGGTTTTGACCTGTAACACTGGCATGGCATCACAATCAAATGCGATGAGCTGTTTCAAGAAACGAAAAAAAATAAGATTAACGGAGTTATAATATAACGAATTACGCAGAAGATTTTTGTAATTTACATATTTCAAAATATCAATTTTAAATAATATATACGTATATATGTACAAAAATAAAATATATAAGGGACTTCAAGAAATGTTACCAATCTATTTACATATATATATTTATACAATAGCTTATGGATGAATTAAAATATACTCACCATATCTGATGGATTATTCTCATTGCAATCACAGAAAATATTATTAAGACCAGGTGCTGGACTGTCTGGTAAAACACGTACAACCTCTACTGTAACACCTTGCTGAAATTATAGAAAAAAATTATGGGTAAGAATATTTGGTATATCACAAAAAACCTATAAAAAAATGAAAAAATTTTTCTATTTTAAACTGGATTAGTATTATCCTGCTAAAAACTTTAACTGGAAAAGTATTTATATTTATTTTGTATTTAGAAGAATTCGTCTAGGTTTGATTGATAAATCTGGGATGGTTTTATAAATCGAGATTCACTTTTAGTGCAAGTTTTATTTTCGATTTGATATGCTCGATATAAATCACGAGCGAAATAAATAACACTCGAGATTAATTTATAACACTCTATATATTTTGCCGGAGCAGTAAGATTACTCTGAAATTAACAGCTGTTTTATATAACTTGACAAATAAAGTATGTTTTGATTCTACATATGTATATATAAAAAATATAAATGTGTAATAACGCTATTACAAAAATGTTAGATTATTCTAAAAATCTTAGATTGAGCAATAAAATTTGATAGATCGAGAGTTAATCTAGATTGAATTCAGATTTACCGTTTGGTGATTTCATAAGAAATAAAAAAATAGACATTGCAGTCGTTTATTAAATCTATTTTATATTCAAAAACAAAAAGAACATGTCAACTGGTTTATCATATATTAATTAATTATTGTATAAAACACTCCTCTAACAATCCTTAGCAAAAAAAAAAAACATATTTCGAGTTATTTTATAAATAAATCATTTACTATATACTACATTCTCATAGCATCCTTCCTATTTGAAATCAACTATAGCTAACTTATTCCTCAACACATATTACTTTATTTCAACAAATTCAGTCTATTGTTTTAATCATCGCTACTATAGCATCTTGAAATGGTATACCTAACATATGAAGACATTCATATGTTATGCATATTAATTTTTAATAGACATTGTTATTGACTATAATTATTAAAAAGTAACTTCTTGATACTAAAAGGACTCCCATTTACTGGTTCAGTAGTCTCTGATCACTGGTGTATTGGAACCCCTTTAGTACTCATTGTTGAAGTCATGGAAACTAACAATGATGTATTTTCTCTGTGATTATCTAGGATTGGATTCGAGAAGAAACAAATTTTAAGGAACGAACTTTTTTGACAGTTTGTTATACTCTTTATTGATTAGGACGAAAGATCACTTAAATTACTTAACCTAAGTATTAGTATCCCTATGTACTTAGGGATGTACTTTTCTAACAATTTGTTATACTGTTCATTGGGAAGGTCGAAAGTTTTGTTAAATTACCTAAACTCAACGCAAAGGATTAAGTTTTTCTTTAAATTTCTTTGGGTCTCTGGAGAGGATTGTAGTAGTAAAGTAGCGAGTAATTTGCAATTTTAATCAGTGGAAGAGTATATGTTGTTATTTATATCAATACAACAAACCAACTTCTTGATTCATTATTTGTTCACAAATAAAGGGAAATATTTCCCAAAATATATATATATTTTTTTTATATATATTATTTTTTGAACCTTGAATTTAAGTCCACTGTTTTGAGGTCTTCTTTAGAAAATTTATGAAGAAAGATTACATATGTTAAGTAGTCTATAGTATAAACTAAATATTGTTTTTATTTATTTATTTTTATTTAGCATTTAATATTTTACATATTGAAAATCGCTCAGAAACAACAATTAAATAATCTCCTCCAACCGGTTTTTAGAGATTGTTCGAATACTGATTAAATTTTAATATTACATTATTAAATATTTCTATACTTTGAACTAAGTTAACAAGCAAGCTCTTAACATTTAAGGTTAAAACCTTTTATCTTAGACTATATATTAATCGTAATTAAAAAAACTTTTTTTTTCGAAGTGTTTGTAATGGGAATGTACCTATGGGTTTCTTTCATGTTCTTTGTTCTCATTTCCAATTTTATTTATTTTTATTTTATTTTTTTTATCAGTTGAAGCTCCGGGGCCAAGGTTAAGTTTGTATTATTTTTGCTTTTATGTATTTTATTTTGTTTTGTGGTTTAATTTTTCTGCTTTACTTTACTTTATTTTTTTCTTCGGCTTAATTTTTTTTCCATATGTGAACCACGTTTTGAAAAAAGCCGCTTACGTAATTTTCATAAACAAGTCTGACTCAATCGATAACAAGTCTTCAACATGAATTTGGGATGCCAGCACGAAATTTAAAAATAAATCAAAATATATATAAGAAAAAGGTGGACCCTTACGGATCTGATTATACTAGGGTTCTTAAATTAACAAAAATAAATATAAAAAATATTTATCTCTCAAGATCGTTAAACTATTGTTGTTGTATTAATAAAAATATCTTATCTAATCAAATGTCTTATAGGTATATTATGTATAAGACATTATGTCGATATAAATAACCTTAAAGTCATCTCTGGTTCCTAGATATGGAATTCCTTACATTTATATTGTACCGAAATCTCGTAATTCGAGTTGAAATCTTTGGATTATTTACAAAGTTGTCTAATATTTGACTAGTATTTATTCCCGATTTTGCTAAAATTATAAAAATCTTTTATTATTTCAATATTTAGCTCTCATAGATGAAAATAGATATTCGGACATTCTTGGTGCACATGGTAAAAAGACCATATACTATTGAAATTATATTAAAAATAGATGTGCTAAGTGTATCGAAAAAGTAGTTTTTAATATATAGTTATCAGGAAAATAAAATTTAAAGTTACATTAAAAACTCCTGAAAAACAGTACTATTCCGCTGCATAAGCGCACTATATTGTATATTACGTATGCATGAAACATATGTAGGTCTAATATATACTACTACTACTATTACCTAAGTTCTTGACTCCTAAGTGGAGCATAGAGCCATCAAATTTATAATAAAATTTAAATGGTTTTAAATTTGATTATAATATACACTCAGAAAAACATGCTCTAACCATATTATAGAGTTAAATTGACTTGATACTTTGTTAGAGATATTTTAGCTTATATGGTAAAGAAGATATGAAAGCCAAGATTTAGTATGGTTGAACCAACATGAGGCTTCGAATAAGAATATTTTGATCTGACTTTTACTTAAAATCTGGTTAAAAGTTAAAAAGAATAATGGTTCTAAGAATAATATGACAGAAGATAATTAAAAGAAGATAGGAAGATAATTGGATAACCTCTATATCTTGGTTGGCTATATCTTTATAGCTCTGTTTTAATAATTCCAATTTCTATAAGTATTAAAAATATATTGCATTTATAGTATATACAATATGTTGTTTTATAGCAATATCTTGGTTTGCTATATCTTTGTACACCAGTTTTATAATTTTCAATTTCAAAGTTCTATAAGTAAAATATGGTATATGCATTTTTTATATAAACAATAAATTGTTTTATAATAATATTTTAGTTAGCTATTCTTTGTCTCTCAGTTTTAATGATTCCAATTTATGTTCTATAAGGGCTTAAAAAGTAATGCATTTATTATATATGACGACTTATTCTATAACGACTTACAAAGGATAACTAAAAGTAATTAATTAATTGCTTCATAGTGTGGCAACTACGTTAAGTCAGTGGAACCATAGGTATTCATATAGATAAAAGTATTGTAAAAACTTTATTGTTTAGAAATATAAATGATGATTATGGTTAGAACTTGATGATGGAACTTAGTTGATGTTTAGAATTTTTAAAAGCTTTATGCTTTATAGTATAAACAATTAAATATTTAAAAATATTAAATGTTAAGAATAGAATATAACTTTAAGAACAACCCGAACTGGAAGAGGTTTTTAATAAATAGCAATCCAATTATATCCTAAGAGATAAGTTTAGAATAGATACATATCGAAGTAAAGTGTAATATTCATAAGTACTTCTATTTAATTGAACTAATAAAACTTTTCGGAAATCAATTTAATAATTCTTAGAATATTTTAAAACTTAAAGTACTTATACCATATATAATTTTATATTTTATTTACTGAAGCATAAAGTACTTATAATGCAATAAGTTTTCTAGGAATGAATATCAGTAATTTTTATTACTTTTGAGTCTATAAATTTTAAGCAAAAATTTTTAAAATATTTCACAGAACGAAAGTAGAATATTATGTTCATAAATGAATATAAATTTAAATGACATCATTGAAATCAACACATTCCACGTTACAAAATATGAGGTCATCTAATGTTTTAAAAAAGGAACAAGAAACCGCAAACTTAATATTTATGACGATACTTAAACTTACCCGTATTAAACAAAAAACAAATGAATAAATTTAAATAAAATTTATTAATATATCTAAACAAAAGCATAAGCAAAACTCTTTCTACTTACCTCACCCGCTGATTTTCTGAGTGTATCGTTAAGCGCAATGACCCATGAGATGAGTAATTCATTCACAATAACTAAATCGCTATAAAGCCAACGAAATACTTGACTGGTCCATGTAACGGAAACCTAAAATAATGAGTTTTATATAGTAACAATTATAAAAAAAAAGTAAAACTCTCCAAACTAACAGTTTCTTTTCCAACAACATTGGATGGTGGCGGTACATAACGTTTTTTGCGACTTTCAGGCCCAGTAGAACTTTGACGTACAACACGTCTACGTGCACCACCACCAACTGCACCTCCAGCACTTGAAGCAGGTGAAGCTGTAGAACGACCACGTGCACCACCAGCGGCAGGTTTACTTAGAAGATCCTATAATTGTTACACATATTATAATAATATATATAAAACTGTTGTTACTTAGTTTTGTTAATACCTTAATATCAGATTTTGTAGCTAATAATTCTCTCGGTTCGGATAAACGTGTTTTATCGTTTTTAGCACCACCGGGCGCTACACTACTTTGTCGACTATTACTTTGACTTCCCGTCGTTTTATTTTTTAACATATATTTATTGTAGAAATATTTACACAGCCATACAGAGAATAGAGCCAATACGGCCCATATAAATATGAAAATTGCTAATGAGTCCATTGTTAAATCACCAATTCCTTCAAATGTACAAATATAATCATCGATTTGATCTGCTAAATCCATAATTTATTTTAGTGTGCAGATACAAATTTTTTGCATCATATCTAAAAATATAAAGAAAATATGTTTATTAATTTACAAATGAAATAAAGTTTATGAGAAAAAGTAATATTGCATAAACTAATCAATCATTTTTTTATAGTTTCTTTTATTTATAGATTGGTTTGGATAAAAGAACATTTCAGATTATATGACACATATGAAGATTGTTGTGAAAAAACACTAATAAAGTGACTCTGGTAACTCTTTGTTATTAGTTTCGATTAAGAAATTCCTTTAATCAGTAGTCATCCACACTAAAACCATTAAAATGCTTCCTCACTCTTAAATTTGGGAATTTGGAGAGTATCGGAGAAACCGTCCTTTGATTGTCAGAAAACGTAAACATTTTACATGATGTTTAGTACAAAACTACAAAAAGTCTTACTCCTTTGTAACACAAAGGCTTATACATATGTAACTTATAACCAGCCCGATTAACTCAATGTAACTTAACTAATGCCCGATATCACATACAGTATAGAGAATATATATATTCTACATATATCTTAGAGCATAAAGGACGCTAGCAGCAGATACTTGAAAATCGCTTAAGTAATAGAACATAATGAGAATCAGAAATCACTAATACAAATAATGGATATATCATTTTAACAACAAAAACAGAATCGTATATGGTATTTGGAAGAGTACACATACTTTTAAACAAATAAATTAGTTTATTAACAAAACTTTTAAGCTATATATTTACTATATAATTTTTTTGAAAATATTTAGATACCTAAAGAATTGACTATTCTTTTCTAAGACTATTCTATATATTTGGACTCACAAGTAGTACCTATATGCATGTGTAATTCACATGATTTCCAAAGACTCCATAACTATGAAACTAACATTAACATAGTAATTAAAAACATTATCTACAATAATTCGAAGACATCAAAGGTTAAGCAGAGCATAGACCAATATTTTAAAACCCAGAACGTGCTGCGGACCAAAAAAACATTCAATGGTTCAAGAAACGGTAAAATATTCTATGTTCATCGGAAGTAAAGTACCAATACCGTCCTTAGAAATAATATAGTGAAAGAAGAAAATACAATATTTTATGAACTGGTGGTGTTTATGGAGCGGCACGGTGCCAATCGAAGAACCAACGTTTGAGATAGGCTATTGACCATGTAAAAATTGTAAGAGAATTAATTATTAATATTATCTACGAGCTTTAAACATTATTTTGCAATTAAATAATAATAACAACTCCATTACGAAAAATCTAAAAATACATAAAAGTTTAAAACAAGATTCCGATAAAATCAAGTTTTGCCGTGTGAATAGGTTTTAAGCGAAAAACCGAACGAACTAATTGATAGAAATTACTATCAAAATTAATTAATATAGTTTTGTATTAGGCTAAATAAAAGAAAATTAAATATTATAAATATTTAATCAAAATTAAGTTTACTTATGCCAAGAATTTTTCAGAAGAAATTTATTCGAGCAGAACATTTTCAAGAGAAGTCAAAATTGATGAGAAATTACCGTACCGGTTAGAATGATAAAAGTGACTTAACGTATTCAAATAGTCTTTCCACCAAGAAAGTTTATATATTTAAAAATTTTTAATTGTGTAATTTAACAAAAATAAACTTAATTAATTGAATATATAGTATATATATAATTTTAAAATATCGATTTATAATAACATTGAATATAGCGAATAACAGATAAATATCAATATTATCATAATAATTTACCGTTTTGAATGTTGATTACAGTTAAGAGACTTAAAACCAGTTTAAATTTCATATATATTAATTAAAAAATTTATAATAATAATAATAATAAATTTAAATAATTTATTTTGTGTTTTTTAAATATTTTACTTTATAACTTATATTTTTAAAAATTAAACAGTTATAAGTTTTCATGTAATTTATTATTATTTTCTTATTTGTTTAAATATTTTGCAAATTATTTTTTATTTTTATTTAATTAATCTTATTTTATTTTTATTGTATTTTTTTTTTGTGTAAATTCTCTAAATTTTTGGTTATATTTTCTTAAACTATTTGCAGATTTGAGGATTGACAAGAAACATCTGGGCGCAACTAGCAGAGACACAAAAAACTGAAGAGATTGATGTGCTCATATAAAAATTAAGATACACAGATACTTTTCAGTAAGTTTAATATAATTTTTCATTAATATAAGATATTTTTATATTTTTAGAAGAAACATAATTTGTTTCAAAATTTATTAAACGTAATTGGTGCATTGATCTTTTATTTTCAGTTAAACACTTAGTAAAAAATTCACAAACAATTTTAATTATTATGTTAAAAAAAAAAATTAATAAATTATATTATATATAAATATATTTTTTAATATAAAATTATAAAAAAAAAATTAAAGTAATAAAACGAACAAAAATCGAACCGAATAGAACGCATAAAACGTTCAAAAACCGAAATGAACTGAACTGATCGGGAAAATTTTGAGCAAAGTTCTTTGCATTTTCAATATACATTCTAATACATTCATATATGTTTATATAAATATATATGTGTGTTTAATATAACACATTTTTTGTATATATACAAATTAGAAAATCTATTTTCGCGCCGTCGCAAAGAGATTAACGAAGTGTGAAAAAAGAAATTTCACTTTTCCGAAAAAGTGCTCTATTATTTTTTCCAGTTTTCTCCAATTATTTCTTCTGAAGATCCTTGGTAAGGCAGCATTTTTTAAAAATATAAAAAGATTTTTGTATATAAAAAAAAGAAAATAAAATAAACTGCATCCATAAAGAGAAAAAATTTATTTAAAATGTTTTTAATATGGGATTAGTCGCTTCTATATATAGTTTCGTATATTTCTCTCCAACTCTACGTACATATATGCATATTTGTGTATCTTTAGTATGTATGAGTACCAGGTGACGGCATTAAATCTTAAATTTGTTTGAATTTAGTTTTCATTTTATTATTTTACTTTAATTTATTTTTATTTTGTTTATTTTATATATGTTCACAGAACGGTGTGTTTTATTGGTATTGCCTATATTAGTTTATAACAAAATTGACGTCACTATTTTGAGGTGTGTGTACTTTTAAAATCGATGATGTAATTTTGCTACTTTTTCTATTCAATGATTTAGTGATTTATTATACTTTATAGTGGCTATAAAAATTTAAACAAAAAAGGAACAAAATTTCGCAATCAATACGATTTATAAACAGCTAAATACTCAATAAATCTTTTTAGTGGGATGTGGCAAAATAAATAAAATAATAGAGTTTTAGTACTCGTATGCCTCTAGTTTAAATAAAAGAATAATATATTGAATATCTTACAGAAAATAAGTACAAAAGATAAAAGTTTATAAAAAATTAACAGATAGTCATTTATATTGTATCGTACTATATCGCTACGATTATACGTATATCATCGTATAATTATTATTTATTAATTATCCACTCACGATTTGCTCATAACGCTCATTCACATTTTTTTTTTGTAGTGAACAGGTGGAATGCACCGTCAGCCCGACCAGAATGCTGTGCCCAAATCTCTAACATTAATATATAATATACGGACTAAAACATCCCCACTTCGACAAGACTTATTATCCCTCGGAACCGCTTTCGCATTACTTCGAGGAAGGTCTCTTTTATGTTGACATTTCCAGCCATGCTTTTGTGATTTGCAATCTGCGTTCCGATCTCTACTTTTTTACCTTTTTTTCTTGGTGTCTGCACTATTTATTAACCTAGTTTCTGATTTTATTTTCTTAGTCTAATTTCTTCGCTTTAAGGACTTAGATTACATAGGACTCTATCGTTCGCCAGCACTCTGGGTACGCTTTTAACTTTTCCACTATATTTCTTCGATTTATTGTTTCAATTTGAGCTATTAGCTCTTCTCTAAATATGAGCTATCTATTACAATAATAGTGCTCTATGTTCACTTAACTGATCTAACTAGATTAATAACTTTAGCTGACTGGTTATTTAAAGTAGTGACACAAAATGAATGGAATTAGCACTTCAGCAATATAAAATGCTTTTGTAAAACGTAAAAATAGAAATTTCGTTATACACAATAGTTTACGAACATCTCAAGCCCGAAGAAGGTTTCGCAATACACATTAGTTTATTGTAATAATTACACATAATTTTAGCTTTTAGAAGACCAACATACAGATCGTATATTATGTTAAGCGAATAGGTGAGAATGTACAGGATAGAAAAATGTTTAATTTGATAGCTTTTTAAGGAAAATTCAGTGCTTCAATGGAAGGGCTAGTCATTTCGTACTACCAAATGGCGACAGAAAGTCGTTGATCAGGTTGGCTGGCAAAAGCTACTGAACGCGAGACAGTTAGTTGGTCGGTAAATTTTAACTAAGTAATAATGTGTAAGTAAGTAATAGAAAGTAATATTTTTTTGGAATTTTTTATAGTATCTATATTCTAGTATATCTATGTTTCTAGTACCTATAAAAACTGAGAGGTACTGGATACTTTCATGTAAACAGATATGAATAGCACATTACATACAATCATCTCAACAAACTTAAAATATTATATATATTTAAAACCATTTTAAAATGTTTGGTCCTTACCCTTGTATATATATGTACACACAAATTCAAACATATATTTATCGTACAGATGGCGCTCGTATATTATTAAAATATCTGTTTTATGTCTTCAACTTGACTTGATTGATTTAAAAATAAATTCGTGAATTAAATTGTTAACTTTGCCGTCTTCTTTGTTTTCGGTAAAAATGCATTTTTGTCTATGTTTAAAAATATATAAAATGAAAATATTTGCTCTGAGGGTAAATTAAATAAAATTTTGCTTTTATTTAACAGAAATAAAATCAATGCAAAAATTGGCACGCGATGCAATTTAGAAAAGAATTCCCATTTTAAAATTATTTAAAAAAAGGAAAAAGATTAAAAACGTAGAATCAATAAAGATATATTAAAATACAAAATGGTTTCTTTAGAAAATAATAGTGTATAGGGCCTTATAAAATATGTTCTTGAATTTTATTTGAATAAGGTTCCGAAGAGGCATTGCTTCCAAATGCTGCTTGCATTACACTACTTCCTCTCTAAAATTAAGGTTTTCAATTATAAATTATATTATAATATATATTTCTTTCACCATCTAACGATTAAGTACAATGAAGAGTTGAATGATAAGATTTAAGATACAGGTTAGGTTTAAGTGTCATAGCCCATGAGTCCGTTACATTGCAATAGATCTCTTGTTCAAAAATGCTCCACTCCAAATAATTAGATTTTCTTCACGGTTTCTTTGACACATGTTTTCTTGAGTTCAGAGTATTACTCTACCCGATTTACTTCATATATCAGTTCTAAAAATTTCTAAAAATTGTAGACATGGATCTTCACAATAGGTAAGAGTATAATAGTTTTTCCATATCGTATTTCTAATGATTAGTTTCATTTGTTGAATTCTAATCAACATATATATCAACAACAACCAAATGAGATTATGATAGCTAATCTCGTTTTCTTTTGGTTTTAAATCTACGGAATTTTTCTTTTTCCTCTTGGCAGAGACTGCAAAGATCATCAGTTAGAACTTTAGATCTTCATGCACACCTGCCTATTAAACATTAATCTTGTAAAAGAATTAATATTTTATAGAAAAATAAAATTGAGGCCTTCAATTTTTCCAAATAAATTGCTCTAATTTCTCTCTTATCTGTCATTTACATAAAATATTCAATACAATAATCAGTGCGATCACATTAGAAGTTTTGTGTGGCTTTCCTGAAACGACCACCGATTGTTTCGCCATACGTACATGATAACATTATCTTTCCATAAAATAACATCTGCCTTATTATCATTAACATAATTAATTTGTTACTTAAAAATATCGGTCAAAGTTTCTTTCATCACACTGATTGCTACCATAGTTTCTGACTCCAATTATAATAGTTAAAATCAGCCTAAGCCATTAAAGAACAGCTGTCCAAGTTTTATTCGATAGAAGAATAAACATGTTTTTTTGTATATGGGTGTTGATTAACATAGAATTACTAAATCTATAGATTTAGCGATATTCAACTGCTGGTTTATTTATGGTTATATGATGGTTAAGTTTATGAGTAGACTCAATTGGTCAACTGTATAACAAAGTGAGTATTAACATTAACTGCTGTCAATGATCTGTTTTTAATATATCTTAAAATATATGTTTATTGAAATTTTTACCAGATGTATAAATTTTAAATGTATATAGATGTAGATATAAAAAGAGTTCACACATAGGAAGAGTTTTATACCCGGTAGCTTTATAATTTCATCTAAATATAACTTTAATTATATACATCTCTCATAACATATATATATTAAAAAACATAAAATTTAATATATAATTTTTAATTTATATGAAATTTAATTTTTTGACCTAATTATATCCATTGACTTTAAACATATGATGTATGTGCATAAGCATTAGTCATAGGTAAGTAAGAAGATAGTAGGAGATTTCCGTTATATTATCTGCAGATAGGTGTGGGTAGAAAAAGGTAATTGCACTGAACCCACATAAAACTAAATTCAAACAAAATTTTCGAATGTTAAATTATTTGCTAACAAATTAAATACAAACAAATTATTTACAATTATATACGCTCTTCAGTCATTCTGGGCCGCACACGAGCACTCTTGCACAATGTCAATTATCTTGTAAAACACTTTAATGTCATGTAGCCTGTGTTGCCAATATTTTCTATGAATAAGCCAAGCATTTCTATTTTATTTTCTACTTTT